TCCAATCTAGGAATTGAGACTTGTTTCTCGATGGGCGCCACTTTTGTCTTGGATGTTATTAGACTGACGTATACTTGTTCTTCATCTACGACTCGCAGGTACACTACCGCTCCATATGCTACTTGTGATGCATCTGCGAAGACGTGCAACTCACAACTTGATGCGTTACTGTAGTGCAGCCAACGCGGTATGCTAAGGCCTTTAATGTGGGCTAAATTGTCTCGATATCGGCTCCATTCTAACAGCAAAACACCATCAATAGGCTCATCCCATTCGAGTCCAGTCTTCCACAATTTCTGCATAATTATTTTAGCGACTACTATAACAGGAGATATCCAACCCAAAGGATCATATAGCTTGGCTATTTCAGAAAGAATAGTTCTTTTAGTTACAGGTTGTTTAGGCTCTGGCAAGTTGACCGTGTATTCAAAACTATCGGTTTCACGATTCCAACTTACGCCTAATACTTTAACAACACTATTGACCCTTAAAGGTAATTCATGACTATCACAGTTATTCTTTCCAATGTACCGTAGAACAGCTTCACTGTTACTACTCCATTTTTGTAACTGAAAGCCGCCAGAGATCATTAGGCTGTTCATCTCGTTATATATCTCCACTGCTTGTTCTTCTGTTTCACAGCCTGTGAGCAAGTCATCCATGTAGTAATCAGATTTTGTTATTTCCGCTGCAGTAGGATAATTCGACTGTTCTTCCTTTGCGAGTGTCTGTAGGGATTTCACGGCAAGGTATGGTGCACACGCTGTGCCAAACGTTAATCTCACAAGTTTGAAGTGTTTAATAGGCTCGTCGTGTGAAGACCTCCACAATAACCTCTGATAGTCTGAATCAGCATCTGCTACTCGAACCATTCTGTACATTTTAACAATGTCGGCTGTAATACAGATTCTGTGTGTTCTCCATCGCATTAAAATGTGTCGCAATTCTTGCTGTAGTTGAGGTCCAACACACAAGTTATCATTCAAAGACACATTATTTGTTCCTTTGCAAGATGCGTCAAACACTACACGGACTTTTGTAGTTAACTTATCTTCGCGTACCACTGCATGATGAGGAAGATAGACCGAAGGTTTATCAATTTCTGAAGGAGATACTTCTACCATGTGCTTTAATTTTATGTATTCGTCCATTACTTTACAGTATTCATCTTGCAGTTCAGGATTTTTTGTCAACTTTCTTTCTAAAAGTTGAAATCTTTTATAGGCTATCTCTCTCAATCCACCGTATTTGCATTCTGGATCGTCGGTTTGAAATGGCAATCTTACTACAAATCGACCGCTCTTGTCTCTCTCTGTCGTGGAATCATAAAATTCTTCACACATTTCTTCTTCCTTTGAAAATTTTCTTTTAATGTTGTTTGGTTCCCTCTCTATTTCCCAAAATTGTCTCAGTAAATCATTGTCAATTACCTGTGCATGTAAATTTGTGATGCGTTTCCTTTCTTTTGTGTCTTCTAATGTCGTCCTGCCAGATACCACCCACCCTAGGGTTGTATTTTGTGCTACTAAATTGCCCTCGGGGTGCTTGATTATGCCGTCTAACAGTATGTTGCCATAAACTTCGGCTCCAAGTAAAATATCTACTTTACCTGGTGTTGTAAACGCTGGATCCGCCAACTCCAGTCCTTGAAGTTCTAACCAATCAGGAAACCTAAGTTTACTGGTGGGTAACAGTGTTGTTAATGTACGCAGTACATACGCATTGACTCTAATTGACTCATTGGAGTTGTGGCGTGATTTCACGCAGAGTGAAACCATGTGTTTGATCTTTGTTTGCCCTTCTCCCACACCGGACACCCAACCACTCACTGATATACGTGTAAGATTAAGCAACTGAACAGTAGCTTCAGATATAAAAGACGCTTGTGACCCTTGGTCTAGCAAGGCCCTAATGATATGTATACACCCATTTTTACTATTGACTAATACTTTAGCAGTAGCTAATAACACAGTATTCGTTTGTATATGCTTACTTGGAAAATTTGACATAATAGGCGCAGAATTACTTGAAATGGTTGACTTACCTAGCGACACCTCTCGATCGGTACCTGTAGCACGAGTTGTCCCCTCGTCAGACTTCTCGACGACGTCTTCTCTCTCGAAGTGAAGAAGGGAGTGATGCCGGCGGCCACATCGTCTGCAGCACGCTGACTGTCGACACTTATTCACCGAGTGTGATGGCGCGAGGCAGTTGAAACAAAGTTTGTTCTTCTTGGCACTCTCCTGCCTTTCCTTAGTAGTCATACCGGCGAATGTTTTGCAGTGATAGATATAATGCTGATCTCCACATAATACACATTTAACTTCGCGGTTTTTCTCTTCCTTGGTCACATTCGCATGAAAGGACTTAGCTTTGGCTGCTGGCTTTGGTAGCGACGTTTTTGCCTTGTTAGCCTCGATCATCTCTAAAGATCTGAATCTAGAATCCAGGAAATTTCTCAAATCTTGCCATCTGGGTATATCACAATTAGTTGCACTCAGTTGCTGTTCCCAAAGCCTTACAGATTCTGGATCCAGCTTGGATTCGATTATGTAGGTGATCATTAAGTCCCAGGTATCGGTCTCCACGTTTAAGTTTTTTAGCGACTTTAAACACGTAGAACTTGTGTCAAGAAGATGTCTAATACAACTCGCCGATTCCGTATGAATAGATTTTTGTGATATAAAGGTTCTCAAGATAGCTTTACAGTTATATCTTTTGTTGTTATAGCGTAGTACTAGTTCGTCCCAAGCATCGGCGTAGTTTGCATTTGTCGTAGTATAATTACGAAGTATAAGTTCTGGTTCTCCCTTTAAGTTGCTTTTTAAGTAATGAAGTTTGTGCACAGGAGATAATTTCGTGTTCTTATGTATAAGTGAAGTAAATAAGTCGTAAAATGTCTGCCATTCGTCATATTTGCCGCTGAATGTGGGTATGTTGATTCGTGGTAATTTTATTTCGTTACTGTCTGAGCACGTGGCGGATGACCCTTGACCTTCAGTTGTTAAAGGCGGTGAAGATAGCTGTACTGCATCTAGGAACGGCTGAAGAGCCTCCTTCATGTTCGACTTATATTGCACATATAACTCTTGGAACACTTCATATGTTTTCTCCTTAAAGTACGACGTTTTTCTTTGCTCGTCACTGGTGATGCTCAGAATAATGCTTTTGTGTCCATCCTTAAAATTGTTCCAAAGCTCTTCAAGCATTTCTAGCCTAGTTTCCAAATACGATCTTTTAATCCTCTCTTTCGGCGACTTTTTGTAATTTTTCTCTGCATTCTTTAGGCTATCTAATAGCTCATTTTGATATGTCACAAGATCTTCCATCACAATATAATAAGTAGGCAGTAAGTATTAGCTTCACTGGCAGTATACCTCGTAAGTCAAATGTTTTTTGATCGAAGAACTGTTAGGTCCACGAGTAGGTAGTAGGTTGGTGAGCACGTTGCACTTGTTAACTTGCACTTACAGTAAGTTTTTACTCGTAATCCGGTGACACACTGAATATTGTAAGCACAGTTAATGTCTTTTGTTTCTTAAAGATGTCACAGTTCCGTCCACAAATTATAACTATTACGTTAAACGTGTTCCTTATCGCTTTCTTTTTGTTCTCGAAGCGCTAGTCAGTCGCAGGTACGCGACAAGATCCGGTTCGAAATAGGACCATATGTTGACGGCGATAAGGATGATTTTTGTTTGGACGGTGTATGCACTATTTAAAACAACGTATTGACAGCTCAAAGGTTTATTAGTTACTAGTATAAATGCAAGTGGACTGTATAAAGTTAATATAGGGTAGGTAGGTACATATTTATATATACGCAATTATGTATGGTTTAGACAACCACCACTACTCTTCCCGCGGGTGTGATATACCCACTGTGGGTTTTGAATTGCCTTTCACTATGTGGTGTTCTTTATTATTTTGTCGAACCCAAAAACCTGCTTAGGTTAATTATTATATGAGTAGGTGTCTAAGTATTATTTAATTCCAGTATTTTGCCAGTGTATAACGTTTAGGAGACTGAACACTTACTACGATTGGAGTAATAATTAAAACTGTTTCTTGTGTTACTCGCTATACATATAAATACTTCTACGTCAATATTTATTTATTATTATAAAAATGTATATTAGTATATTATTTATTTCTTTACTATCACTTTCCGTTGTGAAACCATTCTCGACAATTTATACTGTTTATGCTGACTCCCGCGACCATTCTTCTTTTAACTAAAAGTTGCTTCTCATTAGGGCTTCCCCTGTGCAATGGGTGCTAACAAACATACAATTTCACATTCAGACCCAGAACATCAATTTGTGGATCACACAACGAGTTGTTCAGCTACTGCGCCAACCGTACAGTCATTGTCATACGTAACTACCTATAAGATTCCATGTTACATTTAATGAAATTGAATAAACTCACAGAAAATGTGATAAAAGCACCCACAGTTAATTCTTTTAAAAACAGACTCGATAAACTCTCCAAATCCATTAATACGCACGCATCAGCTTTCTAAGCTGCTAGTGTGTTCAAATATAATAATAATAATTTAGTTCAGTTCAATAAAGTTGCCTGGCGTACCATTCTACCTAGTAATACATGTAGCTCATTGGTTCGACCGGAGTGTCCTCACGACCTCACAGTACACCGTCCTCACGCTACCGTAGCGTTGTGTCACGCCGAGTGGGTGGTGACCCTATCCCCCCCCCCCCCCCCGTCCCCTAAAAGGCCAGCAACAGACTTGTAATTGCTCTTGTCTATGTATACGGACTTCCATGGGAAATTTCAGGGAGGTTACCGGAGGCCCAATCCCTCCGACTTCCCCAATTCTTAAATATCCGAAAACCTTATCCCTAAAAGGCTCGTAACTTCTTCGGTGTTGCGGGTGTCCACTGGCAGCGCCGATTGCTTACCATCAGGTAATCCGTAAGCTAGTTTGCTACATTACATAAAAAGCAGTGAGGGGCTAAAGGAGTCAAGTAAAACAACAATTCAACATTATATAACAATAGGTTTATTTGAACAAACAATTAAATAATACGATATTGATGTTGCTACTATTTACAATATGCACGCGCATGCGCACTGCGCGCCTCCTGCAGCACCTCGGCACACCTGACGACAGAAACCACATTGTATATATAGTAAGGGGTCTGATCAAAGTATATAACAATAGTCACATGATAATTATAAATCATAATGATTGTTGAAAGACTATCCTTGCCCTCCACCAATTCCAAAAACTTCAAATCCCCAATCCCCAAAAGGTGGCAACGCATTCTTAACTCCTCCTTTGTCCATGGGCGGCGGATTGCTTACCATCAGGTAATCTTGTTTGCCGTCCTATCTCATAAAAAATACCAGTTTCGTCTCCTGTTCGGGGTTTGTAATCAGCCCCATCTGTGGTGTTCTGATGGCTCGGCATCACATTGATGTGTGTCTAAAGTTATTTGGGCTTTGATCTCTACCAAAATGTGACTCGCCTTATTTTTGTTATTATGAATATCGACTTTGATCAGACTAACAAGGGTGCATTCACACACCTACCATACCAGCTACATCAATTCATGGATGACCACAATTGAGTCCCTGTTTAAGGAGTAAATTAAGAACTCAACTCTAAAAAAAATATTAACGTCACATTCAATGATTTTACAACAACAATAAATAGGTAAATGTATATAAATAGGTAATAATAAATTAGCAAAATGTTTAAGAAATAACGTAAAAATCATCACAAATAAAAAATGATACGACATTTTGAACTGGTTAAAAGTATTTAATTGTAATAGTTAACAAGTGCCCAGTTGTTTTGTACGAGAATCGAACTCGCAATACGTGGTCTACCAGCCAGTAATCCTAAATAGGTGCACACATATGCAAATTATAAACAATATTTAACTATAATTAAGGGTGGACCCAGTATCGTTCCTTGAGGCATACCATTCACATTTGCAAGAAACTATAGATACAATAGTTTAATGTCGTCAAATAGTTTTAATGAAATGATATAATTAGCTACTTGAGTATTACAGCGAGACATTTAAAACATTGAAGTAACAGTTAAAATATTTTTACATGTAGCAATTAATTTTGTGGTTTCTCTGTGAAATGTTTTAGAAAAGTCGCTACAATACTGGGGTACCTTAATATTCGTATCTGTTATGAGGTACTCACGCACGGTGCCTCCTATAGGAAGTTTGCGCCGACCCCGAACTGTAACCCGGGCGCGCGGACGTCCCCGGGCCCGGCGCGCAGCGGCAGCGCGTAGTTGAGCTCCAGCCGCGCGCCGCGCCCCAGTCGCACGCACAGCCCCGCCCCCACCGACACTCGCGCCTCGCGGAGCGCCTCCAGCGCCGCCAGCCCCGCGCCCTCTGCCGGCAGAAGAGATTGACTGGGGAGTCAGTACCAGGCCGGATCCGCCAGCCCCGCCCGCCCCCCCGGCCCGCTACTCACCCGGCATCGCGAGGCAGCCCGCGTTGGCGAAGAGGTGCGAGCGGAACAGCGAGGCCAGCCCCGTGCGGGAGCCCTGGAAGGGCAGCGGCGCGTACAGGTGCAGGCCTGCCGCCCAGTACACGCGGCCCCCCGTGGCCTGTCCGTCGCAGTGCGGGCCCACGCCGCGCTGCCGGAAGCCCCGCAGCGAGGTCGGCCCCCCCAGGAAGAAGTGGTCGGCCAGCTCGGTGCCGAAGACGTCGTGCAGCACGCCCAGCGCGGCCGAGGCCTGCAGCACCAGCTCGGGCCGCAGCGAGTGGTTGGCCTGCGCCAGCAGCTCCGTGCGGAGGTGCGCCACGCCCCCCCCTAGCCCCGCCAGCTCGCTCGTGAACTGCATCCAGGTCCCGCGCGTCGGGAACATGGGCTCGTCGCGGTGGTCCACGCACACGATGTGGCGCAGGATGGACTTCATCTGCGGACCTGGCGGCAGCAGACTGTGTGAGTAAGACGGAACCCTGGACCCGCAACCCCCCCTCCCCCCCCCCTTGGCCCTACGATACTGACCACTGCTCTCCCGCACCTTGAAGCTGGTGGTCTTGCTGAGCACGGCGGTGTCCCTCACCATGCCCTCCCACTGCACGTTGTGCCGCGTCTGTCGCAGTACCACGAGTTTAGTATGCTAACAAACTGTGAATGTGTCTGTGTATGGCCGTGTGTGTACTGACCGCGGGCGAGGTCTTGAAGGCGAGGTCCAGCAGCGCGCCGCGGTCCAGCAGACGGTAGCCGGACCAGGGGTACTCGTGGTTCTGCTGGTAGACGGTGGCGGCCAGCACCGGCACCAGCGGCTTGTGGGGGAAGGGCTTGGTGGCCGCCACGCTGAAGTTGGACGAGGACCGGTAGCCCATGCTGTACTCCGCCGCCAGCCGCTCGCCGCGACCCAACACGTTCGGCATCTTCACGCCTGCGCACACGCAGTCTCAGCAGGCAAACGTTACGGGGAATGTCACAGTATTCAGTAAATCTCGGCTCGAGACACCACTACAGCTGACCAAAACAATTAGACACCTGTACTGTCACACTCACGTGACAGACGGGTGACGGGATACGGGAGGTGGTTTGTATTGAGTAAGAGTCTCACAATCTCCTTTATATTTCTAGGCGAGGATTTTCCACCTTAGGGTACAATTAAAGGGAGCAAATGCATCACTTTATGGTAAACAATAGGCACCGTCCATGGACGGAAATGGAGAATCTAATATTAGAAAAGTTGCCGGCCTTTTGGGAGTAAGGGTCGGCGTCATCCATGGACTCTCGCTTGCAAGACAAAAGTTGCAAGCATAGGAAGCAGAAGGAAGGTAGAGACTGCACGACAAGGCGAAACACACCGCTGTGAATATTGGAATTGAGATAGGGGGGACTGTGGGAGAGGGAGTCTCGAGTGACTCCTAGAAGGTAGGCGTATAACAACCCTGGAGTAGCAGTAAGCAATGCTGACTCACCCAGCACGAGGTTGCCCTCGTTCTCGCTGACGGTGGTGTTGATGCCGCCCACCACGCGGGACAGCTCGCGGACCTGGAACGTCACCTGCACACACACATCACACCACAGTACTGTCGGTACCACACACCTGGACCACACTTACATGGCGCTGAACTAGCAACTGATACTAACTTTCTCCACTATTTAACGGATGTTATTATACATATAAACCTTCCTCTTCAATCACTCTATCTATTAACAAAACCGCATCAAAATCCGTTGCGTAGTTTTAAAGATTTAAGCGTACATAGGGATATAGGGACAGAGAAAGCGACTTTGTTTTATACTATGTAGTGATGGTGTGGGTTACATCATTCAACTTGCTGTAATCAGTGTCAGACATATTTTCCACAAGTTTTAGTAGGTACAGGAGCAAATAATATTTTCAATTGTAAGGTTCCGGAACGAGCCATGGCAACATTTTATAGTGTTTTATTCGCGTATTTTGTTTTTATGTCATATTTTTATTGTCAACTTGCAGTTTTAATCTAATACTTGGAGGAGAGCTAACCTAACCTGAATAAAAAAGTGAATTTGTTTATCAAAAATACAGATTTACGTGAATTAAGTAAAAAAGCTCAACTGGTTTCAATTCATAATGGGATTCTTATTCAGACTGCAGACTGTCCGTAAGTCGTTATTTTCAATTAATTTATTCTGTCTACGATAACTACTATCTATTTAAAGGTGTTGAAACTGACTGGGGATGTAAGGGGGCGAACTTCCATCTTTCGCCCCAAGCCAACCTTACCTGCACGCGGTGCATCCTGCTGGTCAACGAACGAGGCTCTGGCGACCGACCGACGGCGGTATATCCGTCCCTTACAAACAGGCGAAATTAAGTACCGCAGGCCGGTGACGGGCAGCAGCGTTACCGGTGCGAAAAGTTTCGCCCTGCGATCGCCAACCCGCCTGCCCAGCGTGGCGATTATGGGCAATACCTCCTATGGGCAAAAAACGAAGGCCACGGCCCCCAGTTCCCGGCAGCCCCACTATTCCTGGTCATGGTGGCGACCATGGTAACGGTGGGGTAGGGGGTGCTAAGAATCTCCGGGCTACGGGAGGCCACCACAACAGACTGACCCTGGCGACGTACAACGGACGCACGCTACGGCTTGACTCGCATCTAGCGCAACTAGAGGTGGAACTTGGGAAGATCAGGTGGCACATACTAGGGTTATGTGAAGTCCGAAGAGAGGGGGAGGACACGATAACTCTCAAATCAGGCCACCTGATGTACTTCCGTGAGGGAGACCAAAAATCCCAAGGTGGCGTTGGGTTTCTGGTTAACAGGTCCCTATCTAACAATGTTGTGGAAATGTCGAGTGTGTCGAACAGGGTGGCGTACCTCATTATAAAGCTCACCGAGAGGTATAGCCTTAAGGTGGTCCAAGTGTACGCACCGACCTCGGCACACTCCGATGATGAGGTGGAGGAGATGTTCGATGATATATCGAGGGCCCTCCACTCCACCACTAGGACTCACTTCAACATTGTTATGGGGGACTTTAACGCCAAAGTGGGAGTACAAAATTGCAGTGAATCGGTAGTAGGATCCCATGGGTATGGAAACAGGAATCATAGGGGGCAAATGCTCGTCAATTTCCTCGAACGGGAGGGGATGTTCTTAATGAATTCATTCTTTAAGAAGCAGCCCCAAAGGAAGTGGACGTGGCAAAGCCCCGACACTATGACAAAGAACGAGATCGACTTCATCATGGCGGACAAAAGGCACATATTCAGAGACGTCTCCGTGATTAATAGGTTTAATACCGGTAGCGATCACCGACTCGTCCGAGGCTCTCTGAATATCGACTTCAGAGCCGAACGAGTCCGCTTGATGAAGGCCAGGCTCCGACCAACCCTGTTTCAAATCAAAATGGGATCTGAAGCGTTTCAGTTAAACCTGGAGAACCGATTTGCTGCCCTGGAAACCACAACCGACGTTAACCGGAACCTTGAAAACGTGGTTCGAGTTCTCAGGGAAGAAGGTACGAGATTTTGTGAAATGCAGCGTAAGGGCAAGAAGTCGAAGCTTTCGGAAGAGACTTTAGGGCTTATGAAGAGACGACGTGAAAACCCACCCGTCACTTCGTCAGAGAAGCGGGCTCTAAACCGAGAGATTAGCAAACACGTGCGACACGATCTCCGGTGCTCGAATACCCATGCAATCGAGAGAGCGATCGAGCAAAACCGGGGGCCAAAAGTGTTCGTACAATCTCTTGGAAGAAGCCACCTGACGAAGTTGACCACAGCAAGTGGAGAAGTCGTTGTCTCGAAGCCGGCAGTTCTTTCGGAAGTAGAAAACTTCTACGGCCGGTTATACGCTTCGCATGCATCTCGACCTGACCCCGGAAATGAGGACTCTAGAGCCACTTTAATACGCCATTACACCGAAGACCTGCCAGAAGTCAGCATTGACGAAATCGAGATCGCTCTTGGACAGCTTAAAAATGGAAAAGCCCCTGGAGAGGATGGCGTTACGACAGAGCTTCTAAAAGCAGGCAGCAAACCGGTACTCAGGGAGCTGCAAAAGCTATTTAACGCTGTCCTGTTTGAAGGGAGAACTCCAGAGGCGTGGAGTCGGAGTGTGGTCGTCTTATTCTTCAAAAAGGGTGACAAAACCCTACTGAAGAATTATCGACCCATTTCCCTTTTAAGCCACGTCTATAAGCTGTTCTCGAGAGTGATCACGAACCGCCTTGCGCGAAGACTTGACGAATTCCAACCACCGGAGCAGGCTGGGTTTCGGAGCGGATACGGCACCATAGACCACATCCACACAGTGCGGCAGATTATACAGAAGACTGAGGAGTATAATCAGCCCCTGTGCCTAGCATTTGTGGACTATGAGAAAGCCTTTGACTCGGTCGAAATCTGGGCTGTTCTGGAGTCCCTGCAGCGATGCCAAATAGATTGGCGATACATCCAAGTGATGAAATGTCTCTACGAGGCCGCCACCATGTCCGTCCAAGTACAGGATCAGCAAACAAGGCCGATACCGTTGCATCGAGGTGTGAGACAAGGGGATGTTATCTCCCCGAAATTGTTCACAAATGCAATGGAGGATATGTTCAAGACGCTGAACTGGAAAGGACGCGGCATCAACATAAATGGCGAGTACATCTCTCACTTGCGATTTGCAGACGACATCGTCATCGTAGCAGAAACGCTGCAGGACCTACAACGGATGCTGAATGACCTGGCTGACTCTTCTATACGCATCGGCCTACGGATGAACTTGGATAAAACCAAGGTCATGTTCAATGAACATGTACTACCGGAACCGATTGCAGTACACGGCGCTGTTCTCGAAGTCGTTCAAAAATATGTATACCTCGGGCAGACATTGCAGATGGGTAGAAACAACTTCGAGAACGAGGTGAATAGAAGAATTCAGCTAGGTTGGGCAGCATATGGAAAGCTGCGTCAAGTCTTCACGTCGTCGATCCCACAGTGCCTAAAGACGAAAGTCTTCAATCAGTGCGTCCTACCTGTCATGACATACGGAGCCGAAACGTGGACACTGACGGTGCGGCTGGTTCACAAGCTAAAAGTCACTCAGCGAGCTATGGAGAGGGCTATGCTCGGCGTTTCTCTGCGAGATCGAATCAGAAACGAGGTGATCCGGCAGAGAACCAAGGTAATCGACATAGCCCACCGGATTAGCAAGCTGAAATGGCAGTGGGCTGGCCATATTAGCCGAAGAACCGATGACCGTTGGAGTAGACGAGTTCTTGAGTGGAGACCGCGTCTCGGCAAACGTAATGTAGGACGTCCTCAGGCAAGGTGGAGTGATGATTTGCGCAAGATGGCTGGCAGGAGCTGGATGCGAGTGGCCGAAGATCGATCCCAGTGGCGTGCAATAGGAGAGGCCTATGTCCAGCAGTGGACTGAAAAGGGCTGATGATGATGATGATGATGATGAAACTGACACGAGGAGAAAATACACGACGCCGAAATTTCGCCCACCATCTTGCCAAGTTACGAATGAATAAATAACTTATTTTTTCTTATTAGCTTAGGCGCCTTAACTGTGAGATAATTAAGCCTATAATTTATGTCTAGTACTTTGTTTCCGTTACTGTAATGTAGCTAATAAATGCGATTATATTAATTCCTCTTGAAAGGACGCGTTAGAGAAACCGTTAAGCTATTTAGCTACTTATGTTTGTGTAGTTGTAGTATCGACGTTGCTATATGTTTGTGTCTCGGTAAAGGAGATCCTCCCCCCCCCCCCTCCAGTACAGGAGCTCCACTAAGTAGTGGGAGTACCTCGAGTCCCTCAGGCGTGGCTCCAGGCCCCGAGGACACGTCGATGAACACTCCGATGTCGCGGAAGCATCCCATCTCGTCCAGCGCGCGCCGCACCTACACAACACACTGTATTTATGCACATTTTCTATTTCGTGGATTACCTGATGGTAAGCAATCAGCGCCGTCCACGGACACCCGTAATACGAAAGGAGTTACTACAAGTGCTTGCTTTGTTTGGGTTATTAGGGATTTGAGGATTAAGAATGGAGGGGAGGTGAAGGATTGAGCTTTCAGTACCTTCACTCATACAGCGAAACTGTTGCTTCACGCCGGTTTTCTGTGAGGCCGTGGTATCACTCCGGTCAAGCCGGCTCAGTCTTGCCGAAGCATGGCTCTCCTACACTTATACAAATACTGTTACTGGTCTCCAATCCCAATCCCTTCCTAATCCAAAAATCACCAAAGCCCCAATCCCCTAAAGGCCGGCAACAGACTCGTTACTCCTTTGGTGTTGCGGGTGTTCAAGGTGGCGCTGATTACTAACCATCGGGTAATCCGTCTACTCGTTAAGTGACCTCATACTATAAAAAAAGTTGAAAATGTTGGTTAGATGTTTACCTTGTGCGCTCGTAGTATGACGTCCTCGAAGTCGGTGGCATGGAACAGGTCGTCCACGGTGCTGCGGATGATGTCGTCCTTCGTACGGTTCAGCCCGTCCACGTGCACGCGGTCCACGCGGGCCTGCACACACACACACTCGTAGTACTGTTAGTGTTAACGGACATCGATGTTTGGATGTTTGTTACTCAATCACACCAAAACGGCTGGACGGATCTGGATGAAATTTGGCACAGGCATAGGATACTCTCCGGAATAGGACATAAGCTACTTTTTATCATAATACCACGCGGGCGGGAGCTAGTTAACTAATAAATAAAATCAAAGTTATTGCATGAAATAGGTACAGTCCTATTTCATGCAATAACTTTGATTTTGGTTGGTTGCTGCGGTGGCTGGGCAACTTGCTGCCGTGCATCATGTCACGGGTTCGATTCCAACCCAACAACTCTTTGTGTGATCCTGAAATTATTGTTCCGGGTCTGTGTGTGATATGTATTTCAAATTATATGTTTGCACTCATGACACAGGAGCAAAATCTAGGGTGGGGCAACAAAAAAATTAATGAAATTGGATGGCGCCAAAAATATTAGCGTCCATATTAGTAAGTGGTATTAGTTGACGTTAGTAGTGTAGAGGGGGCGCTGCACTCACGTGAGCGTACACCACGTCATACTCGAGCACCTGCGGAGCGGCAAACGTTACAGACTTACTGACTCACTACACCAGTCAGCGCTACTCAACGTACCCGGACTCCATTGAGCTTGATGGTGGGCTTCGCGACGCGCTCGTCTTCCATCTCCAGCGGCTCCTCGAACTCAAACAGTCCCCCCCCAACCTCGCCCACACTGTCGCCGCCTTGCTGCGCCTGCAACATACCGCCAAACATCATCATCATCATCAGCCTATAAGTGCCCAATGCTGAGCAAACGGCTCTTCTCACACGGAGAAGGTTTGAGCGTTACCTAATCACTATACAATTTCAAACTTCAATTTTAAGTGCAGGTTTCCTCGCGATGTTTTCCTTCACCTTATGTCAGTGGTGCCTATAACTCGGAAAAATCACATGGTACTTTCAGGTTTCGAACTTGCACCCTAATGCATGAGAAGCAGGCGCCTTAACCTTTGGGCCACCACAACTAAATGAAAATAATTTTGCTACTTTTAGATTTTTGGTGAATATTCAGTACTATACATGACTATCCCTACTCATTCTGTGGATATATAGATAACTACGGGACGTAAAGAGCCTATGAAGGGACTACATAGTTACAGCGACCAGGCACCAACACTCACAATAAACCAGACATTTTAAATTGGAGATTATAGTCACATACACAAGCAGTGAATTCTCACAACAGGTTGCTATATTATAAGGATAGTGATGGTGAACTCTTTCTTTAAGAGTCCCAAAGAGTGATGGCTGAAACACAGGTATAAATAATTCTAGCTCGGGCAAGTCACTTTAATACCTGAAGTCCTTGTCAATAACAAGTATTTCATAACTGTGTTAGTAACAGTATAAGTAGTAATTATCTTGTGCATTATAAACCATATCTTGTAAGCAGTTATCAATAAAAAATATATATTGTAAGGATCTATTTCAAAATGAGGAAACAGGCCCATAGCCTGATGCGCTTGTTATAAATAATTTTGACAATAGATTTGATATTCAAACTTCATGTTTAGTTGATGCTACTTGGTTAGACAATCAAGATATTATTTTGATTATATGCTATAATGCTACAATTCAAGGTTTGCATCTCAGTACACTTTTACACTAGATAGTATCTCTATTTTTACAACATTGTTGAGGCTACAAAGAGCAGGCAGACAACTTGATATTAAAACAATATGTATAATATAATGTCTGTGGATACCATGAGCCCATAAATCTTTTGATTACTTGGCCTCCGGTAACCTTCATCACTCCTTACAAAATGCACATTACTATACAAATTAGGGAAATCTGATACACATTCAATGAGTCCAGTCATTCTCAATTACTAATAGTTTGTAAACTAATTACATAACCTCTTTCTATATAAGTGATTAGATGCAGTACTGATACACATAGAGTATTGAATTTACAATGTAGCACCACTCCGCAACCTATAGTTGTGCTAGGTTAAGCAATGTTATCTACATAATGACAAATAGAGGGGTAAAGTTGCCTGGCTATGATGTCTAATGGAAGAAATGATGGTGGAACGAGGAGATGATGACAACTCACAGATATTTTTCTTAGAACAGTACTTAGCGGTGAGGGGTGACCATATACCATCTTATGTGCTACTCAGATACTAACAGTGCCCTATGCTGACTCTGTGCTTACCCTAGCCTCAGGTTACTGGTGAAATCATGTAATATCTGTACTGTTACCACTAGATCACACTCTATTATCACAAGATACTTTAAGTTTATGTTAAAAAAAATGAAAGATATTGAAGTTTTATTATATATTGTAGTAAGCATCTGTTTCTAGGGTCTTTACTGAGTAAAGTTGTATTGATCGGCAGCATCAGATGCCATGTATCCCTCGAGCTACATGCTAGCGTGCATAATAACACGTTGTACCAGACAGTACGCACGGCAAACGGTACATGCAGAGCTCAGTAAAGCTACACGACCTGCTTGCGCACAGACTGACTATTTGTGACAGCATACTGCAGGTTGTGGGTGGCCGGCACTAGCAGGGAGTGCCTCACTGACCTACAGCCCGACAAAGCCGTCTCCTCAAAACATTACATCAACTATGACACTACAAGAAGAGCGAGGATCCCAGCGAGCGAGCAGTATTATAACCTCACACCGCCCCAACCAGAGACCGCACAGACATTACCTTGGCGTGAACTGTTCCCATAACGACGATGTGTTTCTACTTCTAAGCGGAAATTATAACTTAAAACAACAATACAATAAAAATTTAGAATTTTTTTATTTTGAAATTACATAAACAACAGTTTTGACAGCGGACCCGAATATTTTGTATTATGGCAACATATCGTTTGAATGTCATCGCTAAATAATTTGTTTTGAAGGACTTAGAAGTGTGTATAAATTTGTTGATAAATTTCATGTCAATAGAAAAATAACATAAATATTTTGAAAAGTATACTAGGAGTATAAAGCGAACAATGCAAATATGTTTACGAAAGCGGCAATAAATAATCATTGACCTGGCAATACCGAGACGTTTCATTTTACAAAGTAAATTTCAAAAAACACAGAGTACTTTAATATAGTGTTGAGAATAAAATAAATCAAAATAAGTTTACGGGTTGAGCAAGTAAGAAACTGCAGCGATCAAAGCGGTCGAAAACACAGATAACTATATACTAGTTAGAGAAAGGAACAAATAAAATGATAGTAATGATCGTATTGACAAAATAACCATTTTTATTGCATACCAGCTTTTACCCGCGGCTTCGCTCCCGTCATTTGACTACCTATCTTCAGTAACAACCTATCCTACCTCAAAGTCAAAGTCAAAATCTCAACAAAGTTGGTTCAGCCGTCTTTTAGTTATAAATAATGTAAACCAACACGATTTCATTTTATATAGGTAGACTGGCAGAGAACGTCTAATGCGTTAAGTCCGCCATTGTACGTTGTGCAAGAAGTGTAAAATAAATAAATAAATATACTTACCCATCTCTAATATTTAGAATTAGAACGTAATGATAGTTGTTCAAGGCAGGTTAGGTTTTTCAAATATTTCGTTAGAAGAACGTTATTGAACGTAAATGTTTAGAATTCTGTACTACAGAATATTTTGAACCACAGAACAGAGAGAAGAGAGAATTGAAAACCACTACAAAATCGGCTGTAATTGGTTTCCGAGATATTTCAGATTTTGTCCGGTATAGGTGAATTTTTGTTAAAGTTAATGTACCTATGAGTAAACCAAAAAGCGGGCTTTTTTTCAAAAATTTGGCACCGAATAGGTTAGACTAGGTTTTTTTTTTGTTTTTTTTAGATTTTTGTTTGTACTTATTCTATAAAATTGTTCTTATTCTATTTATTTGTTACAGCCCTTATTTGACTATTCTTATTATAATTCTTGCCTAATACTACTTTTCTTAATTAACACATAATTATGTCCCATGCTTACGTTGTTATAATTATTACAACATAATACAAAGCATGGTTTTTCAATCTATCTTATCTTCCTTCTTTTTTATCACTTTTTCCGCTATATTGATGCAATAGGTCAAGAATATGTCTCTGTTTTTGCCTTTCATTATTAGTGCTATGTTTTCTTTGTTTAACTTAGGTACATGTCATTATTAGTTGAAATGTCCCACGTGTTAAGTCCCGGTCACTTGACTTTCCAGTCTGGTTCTTTGCCCATTTAATTAAACTCTTTAGAAAAAAACAACGTCTTTAAAAGACTACAATGAGTTTGCTGAATATCGAACAACATTTCAAGAAGCTTGTCAGAGTTGCTATTTAACTTTGAATCCGTTGAAGATAGTCTCACTACTAATATTAAACACTTCTGGAAATACATAGCAAATCGTAAAAATAAATCTGGTACTCCATCCACGTCCACGATGAATTATCAGAAAAGTCAAGTGACCCAGACGTGATGTGCAACATGTTTTCTGTTTTTTCTTATCTGTTTTAGAACCTAAATCACCGTCACTGTTGGCGTGGACCCCGCCAACTCACTGTAGTCCTAACGCTTGTTTAATTGATAACCTACACATCGATGAATCCAAAATTCTGAAACAGCTTAAGTCACTTGATCCGTCCAAGGGAGTAGGCCCTGATAGTTACCCGTCCTCGTTCTTTTAAGTTTCCGGCTGTTAGTATTTGCAAGCCACTCTATATTATATACAACAAGTGTTTGAGCGAGGGTGTGTTTCTTGGTATATGGAAACAAGCCAACATAACACATGTACATAAAAATGGTTCAAAGCACGATATAGAGCAATATAGACCTATTTCTATTTTGTCAGCCTTGTCAAAGCTTTTTGAAAGACTGGTTCATAATGAAATTTACCAAATCCTGCATAGTGCTATCCTCCCTGAACAACATGGGTTCGTTCAGCAGCGGTCCACGATATTCAATCTACCCACTTTTTGACGCTATTTGCACAGATTTCAAAAAGGCATTTAACAAGGTTGACCATGAAATTCTTTTTTTAAATGCATTTAATTGTATAAGGGGAAACTTGCTTCGCTGGTTTTCTTCTTACATTGAAAACAGAATGCTGTGTTGTAATTAATGGATACCAGACAGGGTCTGTGCAACCTCCAGTGTTCCTCAAGGTTCAATTTAAGGGCCCTAATTATTCATTACATTCATACATAAATGATATTAATAAATGTTTTAAAAATACACAATTTCTCTTATACGCTGATGATTTGAAGTTATACAGGACAGAACAAAATGCCTTATGTTCCAAGAAGACTTAGATAAACTTGCCGACTATTGTGTTGACAACAAATTACAGCTCAGTCTTCCGAAGTGTAATATTATCATAAAACAAGTCCGTCATTAATTTAAATTATAGATTGTATAACACCATGCCCACTAAATTAACTATTGTGAAGGACCTTGGTATTCTATCTGATAATGAACTTACCATTAATCAACGTCTTGAAGAAATTGTTAACAACTCTTTCAAGATGTATGGGTTTGTTATGTGATTGTCCGCAGAATTTAAACGGGTTTCGGCTTTCCTTTACTTATGTAGGACGCTTATACGATCACAGCTGAAATATCACAATCTTGAACCCTTTTTATAAGAAGTATGTAGATGAAATTGAGAAGATTCAGGTTAAGTTTCTGCGTATTTTGCAGTACAGGTGTAATACAGGACTCGTTATTAGTATAAGCTCATTACCTTAGAATCCAGACGTTAGCTCTTGGAAGCCCCTGTACTGTATGGTATTGAGCATGGTAATTTTGATTCAAAGACTCAGGAGTTATGCTATGCAGTCCCTCGTACTGTTAACAAGCGTAACGTTCCTGCTGGTACCTGGTTTGCTGTAAATAGCTGTCGCACTAATTCGGGTTTGCACTGCCCCTTACGTCGAATTGTATATACTAGCAGCAGGATGGGAAATCCTCCGATGCACCTGCACCGAATTGGGAGGGAGGAATACCCACAGTGCCACCACTGTGGCGCCGCGGTGGGAGAGGTGTACCCATCGTGGGATAAGCCCCGCCGCGCCTTGGTGTCAGTGGTCGGGGACGACCTCTCACTTCCCAGCATAATAACATCCATGCTAGGGACCGGGAAGGGTATGTAAGGGTAAAAAAAAAACGGTTAGGTTAGGTTATTGTTACGTGCCTGACGTCACGTTCCTGACTATGCGGGCTTGGGTTACGGGATTGGATGAAATGATACACTAATACCGGTTTTCAGACTTTCTATTGCACCTAAGTTACAGCGTCCACGGAGTTAAGTTATCGGCGTTCCTCTCCAGCAGAGTCCGGCCGACTGACACAACTTCGCCGTTCACGCTGACTTAACTCACTTAACTGGCTGCACTTCACTATTTCACTGCACTTCACTATTTCACTCACTTTTCTTCTTTTTCACTTCTTCCTTTTCTTCCGAATCGCTTTAGACTTAGAACTCAACTGCCAGCGGTGAGCCGCAGTTCCGCTTATATACCCCCGGGCAGGTTCTGGAACATTCAATTTCGTTATTCTTTTTGATCGTCATGCCTCCAGAACCTTCCAATAATTTCGTTATTCATTTTTATTTATTCTCCTTCTCGCTCTTTAATTTTTCATTTCTTTCACACAAATAATTCCAGAAAGTTCGACAAAACTTCTATCAACTAAAAAACTTCATGTTTACGGCGGGACTCGAACTCGGGGTCTCTGTGGTGTAATCCACACGCCTTACCGATTACACCAACTCGTGTTGACAATTCACGACGAAATTTACAATCTCTAGGCACCGTTTGACAACCATTCATTGACGTCATGATGTCAAAGAGTTTGAAACACTTTTCCGTCACATTATGTTAGGTTAGGTTTAGGTTAGGTTAGGTTTAGGTTAGGTTTAGGTTAGGTTAGGTTAGGTTAGGTTAGGTTAGGTTAGGTTAGGTTAGGTTAGGTTAGGTTAGGTTAGGTTAGGTTAGGTTAGGTTAGGTTAGGTTAGGTTAGGTTAGGTTAGGTTAGGTTAGGTTAGGTTAGGTTAGGTTAGGTTAGGTTAGGTTAGGTTAGGTTAGGTTAGGTTAGGTTAGGTTAGGTTAGGTTAGGTTAGGTTAGGTTAGGTTAGGTTAGGTTAGGTTAGGTTAGGTTAGGTTAGGTTAGGTTAGGTTAGGTTAGGTTAGGTTAGGTTAGGTTAGGTTAGGTTAGGTTAGGTTAGGTTAGGTTAGGTTAGGTTAGGTTAGGTTAGGTTAGGTTAGGTTAGGTTAGGTTAGGTTAGGTTAGGTTAGGTTAGGTTAGGTTAGGTTAGGTTAGGTTAGGTTAGGTTAGGTTAGGTTAGGTTAGGTTAGGTTAGGTTAGGTTAGGTTAGGTTAGGTTAGGTTAGGTTAGGTTAGGTTAGGTTAGGTTAGGTTAGGTTAGGTTAGGTTAGGTTAGGTTAGGTTAGGTTAGGTTAGGTTAGGTTAGGTTAGGTTAGGTTAGGTTAGGTTAGGTTAGGTTAGGTTAGGTTAGGTTAGGTTAGGTTAGGTTAGGTTAGGTTAGGTTAGGTTAGGTTAGGTTAGGTTAGGTTAGGTTAGGTTAGGTTAGGTTAGGTTAGGTTAGGTTAGGTTAGGTTAGGTTAGGTTAGGTTAGGTTAGGTTAGGTTAGGTTAGGTTAGGTTAGGTTAGGTTAGGTTAGGTTAGGTTAGGTTAGGTTAGGTTAGGTTAGGTTAGGTTAGGTTAGGTTAGGTTAGGTTAGGTTAGGTTAGGTTAGGTTAGGTTAGGTTAGGTTAGGTTAGGTTAGGTTAGGTTAGGTTAGGTTAGGTTAGGTTAGGTTAGGTTAGGTTAGGTTAGGTTAGGTTAGGTTAGGTTAGGTTAGGTTAGGTTAGGTTAGGT